CTTCTGTATGGTTTGCAGATCATAAAGATCCTTAATTCATACACGCCTATAGATGACTTCGAGAAAAGAGTGACTCCATCCTTCGTTCGCAAAGTACAGGTGAGATCCTTAAGAATGTGCCTTTTAATTTTTAATAGAAGACAGTTATATTTAACTAGAGGCCCAGTGCACATATTCATGCACCAGTGGGGTCCGTTGGCCTGACCAGTGGGATTGAACCAAACCCAGCTCTCCAACATCCCCTGTGGGGTCCCAGATTATGAGAGGGTACAGGCTAGGACAAGGGACCCCACCGGTGCACAATCGGGACCAGGGGGTTGGCCAGCGGGGGAGGGATTGCAGGAGGGCTCCAGGGCATGTCCAGCCCAACTTGCTCAGTCCTGATCAGACAGACCCCAGCAGCAAGCTAACCTACCAGTCAGAGAATCTGCCCCTTGGTGGTCAGTGCACATCATAGCAACTGGTCAGCTGTTTGCCTCCTGGTGGTCAGTGCACATCATAGTGAGTAGTTGAGCGACCTTAGCATATCATTAGATGACCAGATGACCGGACACTTAGCATATTAGATTTTTATTGTATAGGATTAATATTACAGAAATCCAGGATTAAATCACATTCACCAAATAAGCACACAAAGCATCAGGAATTTTCCCTGTCAGGTTCCCAGTTTTCAGAACCCATATTACCTGGGGGAAGGGAACAAAAACCCAGAGGTGACTGGGGTTCTTAGTTCCTTCAGCAGGTTCTGTTTCTTACCAGCCTTTGAGTGCCACACAGGTGAGCAGAGGCCGAATGGAAGCAGAGACCTATGTACCCGCCTTCCTTGTTTTAATCCCAAAAGTTTCTTCCCCAATGAACTAGGGCAGCAGTTTGGTTCCAGGATCTCTGGGGATCCTCACGACCCTTCTGGGAGGTCTGCAAAGTCTCCCCTTTTCCAGTCCATGTCTGTACAAGGCCAACTTTTTTTCTCATACTTCAGCCAAAAAAATGAAGCACAATAGGTTGAATGCAGAAGGAGATCTGAGATTCATTCCACCTATCATATTAAGTCAGACATTTAAAAGATCTACAAAAACATAAAATAATACCACTGTCCACTAATCTTTTCTGTTTTAAAAATATAGTTCTTTTTCAATTAAAAATATATGAACATGTGTTGGGTTTGCTCTTATAATTTTATTTATTTATTTATTTTGCTCTTGTTATTTTAGTGAATGAACACATTTTAAGTTATTGCTTTAATTATTGATATGGTAAATATCAGTAGTTAGACCCATATACATGAAGGCTCTTGGAATCCTCAATAGTTGTTAAGGGTATAAAAGAGGTCCTGAGACCAAGGGTTTGCAAACCCTTGAATAGAAAGAAATCACTGAGTGCAATAAAAATTTAATACTTGAGATCTATTCATGTCTTGGCTTGGAATTCTGTCATGAGAATAGCGAAGAAGAGAGAACAGATTGATTTAGTGGGAAGTTATCTTCTGGAGTGAAACAGACAAGGAAGCATTCAGGAGAGCTGGTCTGGAAGTCCCGCCAGGCCTTTTCGCCTGGAACCGTGCTGTGGAAGGCTGTGTGTGTGTCCTCTCTGGCCTTTTGAAAGGAGGGTCTCCCTAGAGAGGGAGTTGTTGTGTTTTCCTTACTCCTGGCTCTCAGATAGCAATGGGCAGAATGCACGTGTTTCCTTACTCACTTCCCCCTGGTTCTCATTTCAGGCTCTCCTCAATAGCCGAGAGGACTCCGCTCAGCTGATGCTGGATGCCAGCTATCTCTTCCAAGTCGTCTTTCCTTTTACGCCCTCTCCCCACGCTCTGGAAATGATCGAGATCCCCAGCAGTTTCAAGCTAGGCTTTCTCAATAGATTGTAGCAAGGGAAGAGAATAAATGCACTTTTCCCTGCAAAGCTACACAAAGATCAAACATGAGGGATGTGGCATATTAATTGGAACTGGAAATGCTCTGGAATGTGATTTAAGGAAGAAAATGAGAACTCTCCCAAATGGGCCACATCTCCTCTCGCTCACAGTGGCGATGTTGCCGCTGTCATTTAACGAAAATTAACACACACCAGCTGTGGCCTTGTCTAGCTCTGGCATCCCAGCTGGCTTTTACCAGAACTCCTGGAAGCTCCCCTTTTCTTCAGGTGTCTCTTGGTCTCCATCTGTCTGTGACAGGGCTCCTCCCACAGAGGCATAAGATCCGGGGACACAGTGTCTCCCAGATTGTCTAAGGTTCATGTGAGGCCTGGGTACATTTATGAAGCCACAGTGGGTCCAGGGCTGAGTCTTCCAAAAATCCCCTCACCCCATCCCTGTTTGGGGGAGAGGTGAGGAGTTTGTGGTGTGTGGGGGGGTGGAGGGGGCAGGTAGGGAGGTTCCCACTAACTCTACTAATAATGCTCCTGCATAAAAATATATTTATTATTTCAGATCCTTCTAATTTTTAAAAAATATATATTTTATTGATTTTTTACAGAGAGGAAGGGAGAGGGATAGAGAGCCAGAAACATCGATGAGAGAGAATCATCTATCAGCTGCCTCTTGCACACCCCCTACTGGGGATGTGCCCGCAACCAAGGTAAATGCCCTTGACTGGAATCGAACCCAGGACCTTGCAGTCCACAGGCCAACGCTCTACCCATTGAGCCAAACCAGTTTCGGCGATCCTCTTAATTTTTAAGAAAATATTCAATCTGAATAAATTATATGAAGTATTTTATATATTTATCTAATTAAAACCAACATATTATTAAAGCTTAATTGCCACACCATTTTCATCTCCTCCTCCAAAAGAACATTTCTTAAATTTTGTCTGCCAACACACTTCCCATCATTTTTTATTGTTTAGTATCTTTCTTATAGTAACATTTAAAAATATATATTTTTTTATTGATTTTAGAGAGGAAGAGAGAGGGAGAGAGAAATAGAAACATCAGTGATGACAGAGAATCATTGATCGGCTGCCTCCTGCACACCCCACACTGGGAATCGAGCCTGAAAACTGGGCATGTGCCCTGACGGAATCAAACTGTGACCTCCTGTGTCATAGGTTGATGCTTAACCACTGAACCATGCCAGGCAGGCTCATACAATAACTTTTAAAAACTAAGTTTAAAAAGACAACCTAAATTATTTTCTCTTGAAAATATCTTCAAAGCATTGAAATATGTTTTAAATTTTCTCATAAAAATAACTGAAGAATTATGTTAGGTCCCTCCTTTTGAGAAGTCTGTGTTTCCCACGTTTTATGACTATTCCTTGTTTCCCAAGATATCTTCATTCCTTCCTTTCAGATCATAAAATGTCACTTGGTAAGCCCTCCTAGTGGACCCAGTGCCCTTTGGAACACCCAAGAATCCCAACCGGCCCTTCTGTTTCTGACAGTCACAGGCAAGGGGAGTGATTCTGTAACGCAGACATGTATCTTAGAAGTGGAAGTCATACATGATTATGAAGCAACATCACCCTACTAACATGGAATAATGTCTTTTCTTATGATAAGTAATTTAATTTAGTTCATTTAGATACATGTATATGAAGAAATGAAAAGTAGAACTTTGTAATATTTTAATCAATGAAATAAATTCCCATATGAATTGGGTCAGGTTCTTTTAATTGCTAAGAGATTATATTTTTCTTACGTACACAAGTTTCAGTGCCTTTCTTTAAGGGTCATATCTTGCCGGGGCTGACGAGCAGCCCAAGAAGGACGGATGAGCAGATTACTCCAGCACCGATTCACTGTGGGGGAGTGGGCTAAGGGAGGGCACTGAAGGAGCCAGGCTGCCTGCCTCTTAGGCTTTATTGGAATTTATATCTTTAGATGCAATCAGCAGGGTGAGTAATCTCGGTAAGACACATGTGTTTACATTGTCCTCTAGGCAAGGGTATCCAGGGAGTAAGCAAAGGATTCCAGTAAACACTGGGGTTGGGGGGGGGGGGGTGTCTTCCCCTGCACAGACTTGTTTGGGAAGGAATAATTAGGGGTGCCACCTTCAACACTCCCCTAAGTCTCCCCTAAGTCAGAATTTCCATAAAAAGAGCAGGTGGCCTTCCATGCACTTCGCTTTTATCAGAATGTCATCCTTACAAACTTTCCACCAAGTCTCCTGTGCTCACCATCTTCTCATACTATCTCATAAAACATATATAAGAATTCTTAGAAAGGAAGTACGTATGCTCTAAGTCCTGCCTCGGGCTGCAGCTCCATGGGGCTCCCACACTGCTGGGTTTGTGATCTGCACCATGCCTTCTCTGTGGCCCTTCCAGACCTTCCCTCTGCCAGGAGGAGCCCATCACCCTTCCTCTTCCTGTCCCATCACTCAGGTTCATGTCTGTTCTACAGCACTGAACCTCGGCTGGAAGCTGGTAACGCTGCCAGTCCTGGCCTGTGGACCCTTGAGAGCAGGTCCACTCTCCCTCATCCCTGTGTGATCTGAACGCTGGGGAGGTGGGGGGACTGCAGGAGCCAAGTCCTGCTGGAGGTGGCAGGATCGGGGTGGGTGGTGGTGGTCAGCCTTGGGAAGGAGTAGATCTTGTTTGGGGACCTGCAGAGGCTGAGGCGTGCATGCATGGGAAGCGGGGGTGGGGGGTGGGGGTGGCAGGAGTTTTCATTCCATAAGCTTGATCAGTTCTTCAAGGCTGAAGTGGGGAGAGGTGGCCAAAATTAATGAGGTGCTGGTGGGATGAGGACTGAGGAGGCAGGAGGCGCTGATGACACCCAGTCACAGGTGAATGTCAAGGTTGCCCAGGGGAGCAGCTGGTGGATCCAATCTGTGACCTCTGCCTCCTCAGAGGGCAGACAGAGAACTAAGCTCAAGAAATTGGTCAGCAGGGGGTCCCCAGGGCACTTGGCAGCGGGTGGGCAAAACGTTCAAGGAGGAGTGCCTGATGCAAATGACAGCGAGTGCCCCGCAGTGCCCGCTGGCTGCCAGTGGGCAGTGGAGCAGCTGCGTGTAATGCCCAGATAAGGGGATTAGAGGTGTTACAGCCTCTTTGCACCTTGGAGCTGGCGGCTCTAACTTCTCACCTTTCTGCTGATCAATTCCCAGTGCTAACTCTGTGGAAGGTATATATGAATTGATATTAAATTAGAATACTTGGACTTCCGCAAGAGCTCAGAAGAGTGTTCAGGTATGTACCCAGCAAGGGGCTAGCCGTGTGGCGGGAGCACAGGCGAGGGCTGCCGGTGTTTGCTAATCTGCATGTTCTAATTTTTCTACAACTCATGTGCATTTCTTTTGAAACAATGTTTTGTTTTTAAAATATATTTAGTATTGGGATCAGGGGGGAAGTTAATCATCTTTAAAATCATTTAATCAGTTTTAAAAATGGATCCAGTTTAATACTCTACCTGTCAATATAAGCCTCAAGAGTGCAACTTATCAACAGTACAACGATTGAAATTTCTTTCCAGAGCCAAGTTTTTTTAAACTTAAACTTCTTCTAATGCCACTTCTTCAAAATAGACTCGCCCAGGCCGTGGTATTTTGTGGAGCCACACTCAAGGGGCCAAAGAGCTGCTCGTGAGCCACAGTTTGCCGACCATGGAGTTAGGTGAAGAAAACAAGTATCGAACAGCCCCTCTGCATGGCTCACAAGGCTCTATCCAAGACATCAGCAAAGTCTGGAGGAAAGTGCATCCATCCAGACAAGGGGAGTGAGTGCGGGGCAGGCAATGGGCACCTTCACTTTTGACTTTCTAACTTTCGCATTAACTCTTTTTTACACTGTGGGAAGGGGCAATTTTTAAACCATATGTTTAGGTGAAACATTTCAAAGAAATTTTGTGGTTGGTGTAGGGTTGGGGGAAGGTTTGAGAAGGTCTATTAGCTTTTTCTGCAGAGCAGTTCCCCATCAAAACTTGTTAAAATGGGGCATTTTTATCATTTTCTTGTTAAAATGCTCATTGAAGCATTTAATCTGGCTGTGAAAAGTTACCTTGTTGTAAAAATGATTATGACATGATATAAATACTAAATGAAAAGCCTATCAGGATATAAAACTATAAACAGTATACATGAACAAATTGTCCAAAAATCTGTTCTTAATGTAAAAAGGAATCTCTCTGGACAATGGGACTATGGGTGGTTCTTTACTTTCTTACACCTTTTTAAATTTTTTTCCAAATCTACAATAACCATGTATAACATTTATGGTTTTAAAATACTATAATCTTTCAAATTTGGTTTGTAGTTTGCCCATGTTTAACCAGATCTAAAATGCTAGTTATGTGATTTAAGGTTGATATGACCAAAACTTGTGGTCTCCATTAAAATAAGGTGTTTTCCAAGAATATACATTGACACGTGAAGACAAAAACTCTATTAAACAAAAAGTTGAAAATTGTATATGGTATATAATTCTAATTTTTTTAAAAGTATACACATATATGTTTATGTTTTTCTAGTATCTTCTATGTTTATGAAGATACTAGAAAAACATAGAAGATACTACATAAAAGATAAACATAAAATGCTAGCAGAGGTAAATTATTTGTTAATATTAGAGCATGTAAGTGGATAACTTTCCTTCTTCATGTTCTTTTGTTTCCAATCCTATATAATAAAAGCCTAATATCCAAATGGGCCAAACAGCAGAAAGACTGGTGGAACAACCAGTCGCTATGACACACACTGACCACCAGGGGGTAGACGCTCAATGCAGGTGCTGCCCCCAGGCTAGCCAAGGCAGGTGACAGAGGAGGGGCCCTCTAATTGCCCCAACAGTTGCTTCGCCAAGAGAGGTGACCAGCGGCGGTGGCAGGGCGATTGGGGGGCTGGCCTGGCTGGCAAGCAGGCGGCGCCACACCCCAATAGCCCCACCAGTCGCCTTCCGCAGAGGGAGGCAACGGGTGGTGGCGGCAGGGGTGGGGTTGGCAAGCAGGTGGTGCCAGGCCAGCCAAGGCTGGTGCCAGCGAAGGCCTCCCGATCACCCCACCAGTCACCCCACAGACAGGCCCTGATTGCCGGCCAGGCCTAGGGGCCCTACCTGTGCATGAATTTCATGCACTGGGCCTCTAGTTATTTATAATGAACATAGGCAGCTCTTATAACAAAAATTGGGAAGGAAAACATTGTCCAGATTTGGAATATTGACATTCTTTTCTACTTCTGTTTTTCTTGATCTTCCATAACCCCTAGCCTCCTTCTATTCCTTCTCCTCTTGGTTCTGGTTCCTCCCGCCTTTCATTCCTGCAGTTGCTTCTGGCCAGAGCTCATTTCCTCTTCCCCAGAATTGATAACAGTCTCTTAACTTAGTTGGTTTTCCTGCTGTACATTCTGTCTCTGACCTACTTCTGGAAGCACTGATGCTGGAATAATCCACTGGATATTGCTCCCTTGCTGAAAATCCAAGGCTCACCTTCCTAATGCTATTACCTGGAGTCCTCAGCACGACCTTGTGACTGCCCCCTGGGCAGCTCGGACAGTAGAGGGCAGCATCACCAGGGCCCCACCACAAGTCAGGCTCTCGTGGGCAGAACCTTTCACATTCTCTCACTCACTCGTTGTGGCAAAGCAGAGCAGCTTCGTGGTGCCAGCTTGATGGTAAGGGTGGTGGAGTCCCATTGCATACAGATTCAGGCTGCACCGCTGACCTTGAACTCGTTTAACCTTGGGCATTTCCTCAGCTGTCGTACAGATGTCCTGCCGCCCTCCTAGGGTGGCTGTGAGGGGCCAGGGCTGAGCACACTGTGGCTGGCAGGAGCTGGTTCCTTCTGTCCTCTCATCCTTTAGGGCTTCCTCCACTCCCCGGGCACTTAGAGATCCCAAGAACTGTCCCAGCTGCCCATTGGCGGTAGGAGTTCACCCCACCTCATGAACCCCCGTACTCTCTGCAGCCCTGCGGTGACCTCTGCATTGTAGACATTCCTCTCCGAGGTATCCCCACTGTCACCTGCCCCCAAATACATCCTTCGCAAATTTGGCTCTGTGGCAATGGTCAGACAAGTGCCTCAAAATATCTGTATAGTCAGCGGGACATTCCTTTGAAGCTTGACGTGGCCCAGTCTTAGGAACACCCTTCAGTCGGCAGGGCCACATGGCTGCCCCCGCCCACCTTACCCTCCCGTCTCCCATCTCTAACAACGGCACCACAAACCCTTGGCCTCCCGAACAGAAACCAGGAGTCATCGTAGACATCTCCCTCTCCCCGTCTCCACACGTTGCCAGGTCCAGCTCCTTCTCCTTCCCGACTGTGGTCCACATCCATCCCACAGCATTGGTTTAGCTCAGGCCTTCGTGTGTCTTGCCTGAACTTGGCAATAGGTTCCTCTCTGATCTGTCCACGTCTACAGCTTCTGTCCCTCCTTCCTGCTGCTGCTGCTGCTGCTGTTACAGCAACTCCCCGCACAGCATAACAACTCACCATATCGCAGCCCTGAGCTAAGTGCTTCCTGCTTAGAATCCCCCGACAACCCTAGGAGGTGGATTTAAGATCCTCGTTTTATAGATTAGCAAGCGAAGATTCAGGGAGATGAAGCAACCTGCCCAAGCAGCAGGGCCAGGGTCCACGCAGCCAAAGCCGGCACGTTTTGGCTCAACGTGGCCCTCCCTTCAGTGGCTGGCCCAGTGGGCTTCTGGATGGGGAGGCAGGGACCCTGGATCTGCGCTGTCACGTGTTTAGTAAGGAAGTGGGATGCTGCGTTCCTGGCAGAGAACCGGCACACATTTACACAGACTCATCCCTGGTTGGAGTTAGGCTCTGCCTCTTTCCTTCCTTCCTTCCTTCCTTCCTTCCTTCCTTCCTTCCTTCCTTTCTTATTGATTTTCTACAGAGAGGAAGAGAGAGGGATAGAGAGTTAGAAACATCAATGAGAGAGAATCATCGATCAGCTGCCTCCTGCACAACCCCTACCGGGGATGTGCCCACAACCACAATACATGCCCTTGACTGGAATCGAACCCGGGACCTTTCAGTCCGCAGACCGACGCACTATCCACTGAGCCAAACTGGTTTTGGCTAGGCTCTGCCCTTTTCTGGCTCTTGACTCTAAAAGTTCACCCTGAAGAGGGGCGTTGTCTGTTTTTTAAATTTCAAATTATCCTCTTCATTACAACAACGCTCTCCATGGTGAGCCCCGCAGAACTAATGTTGTGCTGCAAAGATTACTTGTGTCCATGTCTGCAAGCCGCCAAAACAACCAGTTACACCTAAGTTCAGGAGACCTATTGTCTGATGTTTCCTGACAGATAAGCGAGTTGGTGTTGACCCAGCACGTTGTAATAAATCAGAGGTTACAGATTAACTGCAGATACTTTATCCCAGTGTGGAGGTCTGAGCAACTACCATGATGAGCTTTAAAACAGCGTTTTCTGTTGGCTTTTCTCACACACGCCCCTTCTCTCTCTCTTTCAGCTTCATCTTGCGTTAAAGATGTGTGATCAGACCTTTCTGGTTAATGTATTTGGCTCCTGTGACAAATGTTTCAAACAAAGGGCTCTGAGACCAGTTTTCAAGAAATCTCAACAGCTCAGCTACTGCTCAGTATGTGCAGAAATTGTAAGTGTAACTTTAAAAAAATTTTAAATAGTTACCTATCTTAAAACAATGTCTAATGTGCGGGTCCTGTGACAGGTAAGTTGCCACAGAATCAGTGTACACACACACATTTTCAGCGTGGCCGGGCTGGGTAAGGCAGAAGGCACGGGGGAAGGTGCGGACTGGTCCCTGCCTCCCTGGTTCAATCCCAGTTCTGTGCCTTCGTGGTTGTGCATCAACAAACTCACCTCCCCAAGGAGGTCTGTTTTCCCACCTGTACCGACAAAACAGGAATAAAAGCTTTGTGAGTAATAAATGAGTTCGTTTGATAACGGGTTTTAAACAGTACCCAGCACAGGAAGTGGCCAATGAATGTTTCAGTGTTTCAGCTGGTACGCTTTTTTAGCGCTGAGGCTTTTCTCTCTTGTCCACTATCAGTCTTCTTGGCAAGCAACCAAGCTGAAAGGGACACTGGCAAATCAACAGCTTGGGAGCATCTTTCCCAAGGCCCCGTGCCCACTGCCCCCGGGAACAGCTCTGTTGGGACTGAACCACACAGGGCCGCAGTGATGAGCATCATCAAGCTGAAGGAAAAGGGCTCCTTGGACCTAGAACCCAAGCCTTCAACAAGGGCTAGAGACTAAACATAAATCCTGACATTTTCCCCAAAGTACACAAAATCCATCCTCACCAGCGGTGGCTATGCACAGGTCTTATATTCGGGTCTTTAATTATGGAAGATCTGTATTCAGATATTGCAGAAAAAAGAAAGAAAAAAAGGCCAGAGCATGACTGGTGCCCTAGGAATTAGACCTATCTCAGAGAATTTGCAAAGTTCTGCTCAAAAGCGGGGCTGAACCCAGCTGAGCCGCCTCCTGGTTAAAATGGTAAAGCGCTAACAGGAAGCCCCCAATTATTATCACATTTTTAAAAACCTTTCATCAAAGAGAAGAAGGGTGACGACTTACATTTTATCTAACCAAAGAGGGAAAGTTAGCATTAGTCCTCCTGCTTGTTGTAACCCCTGACAGTGCTTTAAAATTTATTCCCATAAAGTAAATGGCACACAGGCTTGGTTTAATGATCTTGATGTCACAAGGTTCAGGCCCAGGGCAATGGGGTTCTGCCATGTTATGTTCTAAACTTGGCTCTGCAAATTGTCAAACTGAGGACGTTCAATTCTGAAAATAAGCCTGCTTTCTGGTGGCCACCCTCCCACCCTGGAACAGTGCTCTTTATTCATTTAGCTCTTCTGTTATTTACTTATTTTTGATTTTTTAAAAATATTTTTTAATTGATTTCAATGATGAGAGAGAATTGACAGGCTGCCTCCTGCATCCCCCCTACTGGGGATCAGTCCACAACCCAGGAATGTCCCCTGGACTGGAATCGAACCTGGGACCCTCCAGTCCACAGACTGGCACTCTCCCCACTGAGCCAAACCAGCTAGGGCCAGCTCTTCTGTCTTTTAAACAACTTTCTCTGTGGACAGAAGGGACTCAAAATCCCAGAGGTGAGTAATCTGTGACCTCATAGGTTCTTCCCAGCTCAGAGGCCCTGCCTGGAGATGGTCTGCAAGGGCCGTACCAGCTCTCACCATCACAAGCACTTGGGGTTCCCACACAGTCAGGCAGCCTCCTGTGGCTGAGAGACACCCAGATGACTGACAGCTACCTTTTGTCTCAGTGTTTGGGAGTGTGAAGACAGCCCCCCCGTGAGCCCTTTTCATGAATAGGGGCGCCCCTGTACCTCCACCAGGTTGAAATGTAGCAGATCTCCGGCTGCTCCACTTTAAAAAAGATGCTAAAACCAAAGTACAGGGAAGCACTTTTCCAGCTATTGCGAGTAGAAGGCTTTCCAGCTGGAAGAGGTTTGGGATTTCCCTCACACAGAGAGCCTCCAGAGGAGATCGCACAGCGTGAAGCACCGTTCCTCCCAGGTCTACACAGACAGGCAAATGCTCACAACCCACCAGGGCCCAGGAGGTGCCGGCCTGAGAGGGCGAGGAGAGGGTGCTGCTTTGATGGCCCTGTGAGAAGTGTCCCATGACCTAGTGTCTCCTCATTTAAATTACTTCACAGGCAGCCTTAAAAATAATAGCAAGCGCCGAAACCGGTTTGGCTCAGTGAATAGAGCGTCGGTCTGCAGACTGAAAGGCCCCAGGTTCGATTCCGGTCAAGGGCATGTACATTGGTTGCAGGCACATCCCCAGTAGGGGCTGTGCAGGAGGCGGCTGGTCGATGTTTCTCTCTCATCCACGTTTCTAGCTCTCTATCCCTCTCCCTTCCTCTCTGTGAAAAAAATCAATAAAATATATTTTCAAAATAATAATAACAAGCAACTACTGTGTGCCACACACTGCTCAGGATGCTCTGCTTAAGCATATCAAACTCTCGGCCAGCAGGCGGCAAGCCCCAAGGCCTGTGGCCCGCCAGCCCTGAGTTTGACAGGCCTGCAGCCATTCCTAAAGAGCACCCCCTCTGGGCTGTCTGATCTAGCCGGAACCTATGCTCTTAACCTTTGCTCTTCAAACTCTTAAAACAGATCTATGAAGAGGTGAATGTATGTATCTAAAACATGTCTACACTTCACACACTTGATATTTTACTTAATTACATTTTATATATCTATGCATTCTGCCACAGATCCATTTAACAAGCTAACACTAACTGAGCACCTAATGTATTTATTATAGAGATTAATATTAGTATAGATGACTTCCAGCTTTACTTCGAGAGGGCTCAGGATAGCAAGTCCCAGCTGGATTCCTCCAGAAGGAAGGGGCTATGAAGAGGCGATGTTTCCCTTTAGAATGTGTGCTGGGACTGCCTTCCCAGGCTGTGCGTGCACACAGGCAGGGCCCTGCAGCGGGGAGAGGAAGCATCCGTGGGAGGGGTCCTCTGAAGCCTGTAACTGAACGGGCCAGGCTGCCTGGGCCCAAGTCTAGCCTTTGCTTTTCTGGGAGTGTGCACCCAGCAAAGCATTGAACCTTCCTGTGCCTCAGTTTCCTCATTTGTGAAATGGGGCGATGATGGTACCCATTCAGGGTGACTGCGGTGAGTTATTAACATAAAGCACTTGGGACAGGGCCGGGCACTGTAGGGGACTGGAAAGGGGATGTTTGAGTGACACAATTTGCCTCCTTGAGCGAGTTGTAGCGGCGACCTGCCTCGCACAGCGGAGGTAGCTGCCTCGGTGACCTGGGCCGGGGCTCAGAGGCCGGGGTCTGGGTCCCCCCCCCCCCCCCCCCCCCCGGTGCCATGGCCCCTCCTTCCCTTCCCCGGGGCTAAACCCCCAGCGAAGAAGGGAACAGCAAACCGGCTGCGGGCCTGCAAAGACCCCGGCGCTCCTCGGAAGCTCACTATTTGCTTATATGAAGTCAACAAACGAGGAAAGTTTCCGGTTCGCAGTGGGGGGAGCCGAACCTCGCCTCCCGCTCCCCTCCGGTTTCTGCAGGAAGAGCCCTCCCCGGTGCGGGGAGGTCCGTGCGGGGAGGTCCGTGCCGGGAAGGGAGGGAGGCGGAGGGGAGGGGAGGAAGGCCAGTGTCGCAGGGAGCTCGCCGCCTCCCAGGAGCCGGGCGCTGGGTCTTGCCATCCCAGCGCGGCCCCCGCTCCCTGAGCGCCCTCCGCCCAGTCGCGTCTCCCCGGCCTCGGTCTTCCCGCCGGGAAATGGGCACCGCGCCCCCTGCCGCCCCCGGGTCCGGGCGGGGCGCGCGGCCTCGCTGACCGGGCCTGGCCGGGGCTCTGCGCCCGGGCGCGGGCGGGGGCGCCGGGGGCCGCGGGGCCGGAGCGGCTGTGCCCCCGCGGGCGGAGGGGAAGGGCGGCCCCGCGGCCCCGCTCGCAGCCGCCGGCGTCAGCGGAGGGCGGGGCCGCGGGAGACGCGGCGGAGCGGCGCGGGCGGTCGGGCCTCCCGGCGGCTCCCCGCATCCCGGCCCTCCTCTCCCTCCCTCCGCCGCGTCCCCGCGAAGATGGCCACGGACGGGCTGCACGAGAACGAGACGCTGGCGACGCTGAAGAGCGAGGCCGAGAGCCTCAAGGGCAAGCTGGAGGAGGAGCGGGCCAAGCTGCACGACGTGGAGCGTGAGTGCGGGCCGGGGGCGCGGGCGGGGGCCGGCCCCGGGGGTCCCCGCGCCGGGAGGATGGGGGGAGCCGGGGGGAGGCGGGGAGCGGCCCTGAGCCCGGGGCGCGCGTGTGCGGGCGGGCGGAGCAGGCGGCCCCGGAGGCTCCGGGCACCGCGCCTGGAGCCGCAGCCCCCGGCCCTGGCCGCCCATGATGGACCTGGGACCCGTCACCTCGGTCACCGTCACCTGCCGGGAAGGTGCCCGCTGATCGCCCGGAGCCCTCCCCGGGCGGAGGGTGGGGTGCTGTCAGCTGTGCCAGCGCATCAGCCGCGGGGGCGCGGCCTAGGGTGAACTGTTTTGGTTTCTCATTATTTGACCTCCTCCATCTCTGTTGTGTCTTTTCTCGGTTTTGCTTTAATCGGAGCAAGACTCTGATTTAAAAGCTCATTTCCCCCCATCTGCCCCGTGTCCTCGGGGGGTGGAGAGCCGGATGGGGGAAGGGAAGGAGAGGAGCTTACCACGGAGTTCATTTGTGGCTGTTTTAAAAGCTTTGGATGGATGAGGTTAGATTGGCATACAAGACCATAGCAGTCTTAAGCTTACATTATGGACCACTGCCGTCACTTAGACCCGGCTCTGTGGTTTTGTTTGAGGGAGCAGTTAGGTAGCAGGTGGGCTGGGTCAGCTTCTCTTGGCTCGCCCTCAGCAGAGCTTGGGCTCAGGGCCCAGCTTGGGACAGCGTCTATCTGCTGACTTTTCAGCTCTGAGGCGGGCAGCTCCCCTCTGCTGAGCACGAACTCCGCCTGGTGCCCTCAGGCACACCTATACTCTGCTCCCGCCATCTGCATTTGGTACCATCCCCTTCACATTCCGTGGGGAAGGACGATGGGGTTCATGCTAGGCCCTGTAGCACCCGATTCCTTTCTTTGAAAGTTACTTGGTAGAAGGTGACTTGAATCTAGAGTGTGCTATGCTTTGGTAGGGGCCTCCTTTATTTTATTTTAATTTTTAAAAATATATTCTATTGATTTTTTTTACAGAGAGGAAGGGAGAGGGATAGAGACTAGAAACATCCATGAGAGAGAAACATTGACCAGCTGCTTCCTGAACACCCCCTACTGGGGATGTGCCCGCAGCCAATGCTCTACCCACTGAGCCAAACCAGTTTTGGTTAGAGGCCTTCTTTAAATAGGAGTCACACTAAGCCCCTACATCATTTATATGCAGCTACAGTGAACTGTAAACCCCTAATAAAGTAGTTAAGTAAATTGGTAGTTGTTTTTCTTACATGACAAGAACAAGGGAAGGCAGTCACCAGCTTTGGTTCAGCTGCCCAAAGTGCCATCCACGCTCCTGGCTCTCTTCCCCACCCTGAGAGCACGGGCATTTGCCCCATGACTATACTATCGCTGCCACAGCTCCAAACATCACCCCTGTATCCAGGACAGGAAGGAGCGGGAATCTGGTTACCAGCCCCTGTTTCTCCTTTTCCGGGAAAGCAAACGTTTCCCCCCAAATTTTCTTTCTTCCCCTCAGATTTTTGCTTGTGCATCACTGGCCAGAACTAGGTCACATGGCTCCTGCAAGGGAGGCTGGGAAAGGGTGCACTGAACTGGGCATGCTGCCATCCTCACACACAGCTGGGTTTCTGTTATCGGGGGGAAATCAAGGCATGGGCATTGGGAGGCATGGGGCAGAGTCTTCCTCTTTCTTTTTACAATTTTGTACCCTTTGCAGATGATAGCAAAGATGCTGTAAGTGTGGTGGTCTCTGAGGCAGGTCTGATGTCTCCATTTTTTCAGATGAGGAAACTGAGTCACACAGAGATGACAGGACTTGCAAAGAAAGACCCCAACTAACAAGTGGTGGGATCAGGATTCCAGCGTGAGACAGCCAGCGCTCCAGCCTTTGTGCTCGGTGCAGAGGGTTCTCCAGAAACTCTCTTCCTCAGGGGTACAGGCTGCCCACTGGGATATTTTTCAGCCTTTCCTGTGACTTTGTAAATTTCCTGCAGCTTTTCCACGGGAACCTGTCCTATCGAGGTTGCAATGCCCTCAGGGATCTGGACCAAATGTGGCAGGTGGAAGGAGCTATCCTCCCCTGTCCAGAAGTCAGGATTTTTGAGTTGAAAAGAAGTCATGTGGTCCTGTTTCCCTGGATGCCCCCTGCAGCTTCCAGACCACGTCTGCGCCCCCTCACAGAACCCCGGCCCTGCCCGGTGTGACCCTCGCCTCCCTCTTCTCCCCGCTGTCTCCTGACCTCCCAGCCAGGCTCCCTCATTTCTTAAGGACTTTGGCACGTGGTTTGAGCCTTCCTTTGGACCCTAAGGCCTGCCCGTCTTAGTCTCTAAAACAGTCCCCTGGGGTCTTGTTAGCAATCAGAGCTCTTTCTCCATCAGACCCCCCCATGGAGATCTCCGTGATCCGGGATCACTGTGCCCTTCTCTCCTCCAGTCCCCAGGCCCTTTCCTGTACGTTTTTATATAGATGGCCCTGAGACTCTTACCCTAGTTGGGGAAACCTTTAAACCATAACCTTAAAGTGACCGAGTCATCTGGGTTTGCCTGGGACACTGGGTTGTAAGATGGAAAGTCCTGTGTCCCTGGAAACCCTCAGTTCCGGGCAAACCAGGACAGTTGGTCAGCCTTCTGTTCGCTCTGACCTGCCCAAATCCTTGGCTTAAAAAAGTCACAACAACTACAACAAAAGTCACAACAAAATTGTAGAACATAAACGGGGAGGAAAAGTGAACTTTTCCCTATTCCAGACTCTCAAATCTCCTTCACCTCTCATCCCTTTGACCTTCAGACACCATCCTCCTGGGAACAACATTACATACAGGAAGTGGCTCATGCCGGTGGTCTAGGCCAGTGGTCGGCAAACGCATTAGTCAACAGAGCCAAATATCAACAGTACAACGATTGAAATTTCTTTTGAGCCAGATGTTTTAAACTTAAACTTCTAATGCCACTTCTTCAAAATAGACTTGCCCAGGCCGAGATATTTTGTGGAAGAGCCACACCCAAGGGGCCAAAGGGTCGCATGTGGCTTGAAAGCCGCTGTTTGCCGGCCCCGGGTCTAAAGGGAAGCCAGCCTGTATCAAGCTCGATAGCGGGAGGGCCCATATCCCTCCAGAGCTTCCTGCCTGGATGTATCTCCGTATCCCTTCTGATTGCCTTCTGCCATTGATAAGTGCTTCCTTGCCTGAGTCTAAGGCATTTTAGAATCATGAGGTTACAGCTTGTAATAGTTTCTCATGGCTGTTGCACGCATTTCTATGTAGTGGCTTAAAGCTACATAAGTTTATTCTGCTACATTTCTGGAGGTCAGAAGTCTAAAATGGGCCAACAGGGCTGCACTCCTCCTGAGGCTGTAAGGAGACTCCACCCCTTGCCTTTCCCAGCCTTAGAGGCCGTCTGCATTCGCTGGCTTGTGGCCTGCATCACTCCAACCTTGTTTCTGTCATCAGCTCCTTTGGCTCTGATCCCCCCTCTTCTAAGGACCCTTGTGGTTACAGTGGGCCTACCTGTATAATCTAAAATAATCTCCTCATCTCAAGTTCCTTAACTTACTCATGTCTGCCAAGTCCTTTTGCCATGGAAGGCCCCATATTCACAGGGTCCCAGGATTGGGATGCAGATGTCTTTGGAGGGGCTATCACACAGCTCTTCATTAGAAAGACCATCTGCCTAAACCTTCTTGTCTGCACGCACTAAAAGTTTTCTTCTCCCAACCATCTCTACCCTTCCTCCCTCCTTCCCTTCCTTCCTGTTCTCATCCAGGGATATGTTTATTGATTTGACAGAGAGAGAAACATCCACTGCCTCGTATACATGCCCCCACCAAGGACTAAACCTGCAACCTGGGTATGTGCCCTGACCAGGAATCGAACCCAAAGCCTTTTGGTGTACAGGACAATGAGCCACCCAGCCAGGGCCAGCCCCATCCCTTTCTTTATGAGGCTGGAATCAGGGAAGGGTCAGGGGATTTCCCTAAGGCCGTTGTCGGCAAACTGTGGCTCTCAAGCCACATGCGGCTCTTTGGCCCCTTGGTGTGGCTCTTCCACAAAATACCACAGCCTGGGCGAGTCTATTTTGAAGAAATGGCATTAGAAGAAGTTTAAGTTTAAAACATTTGGCTCTCAAAAGAAATTTCAGTCGTTGTACTGTTGATATTTGGCTCTGTTGACTAATGAGTTTGCCAACCACTGTCCTAAGGTTATGCAGCTACTTTAAGGAAGGATGGGGAGTAGGCACCAAGGTTTAGCCTCCTAGATCAGCTCTCCTCACCATGCCAGGCCATCTCTCAGAAAGTTGTGATTTACATTAAAAAGGGGGAAGATGAATATGAACAATAAAGATTTATTTAAAAAAAAAAAGTTAAAAACAAATAATAAAAACCACTTATGCCTAAACCCTAAAAAAAAGGGGGGGGGGAGGAGTGAATTTGTGTGTGTGTGTGTGTGTGTGTGTGTGTAAGAAAAGTTGTCAGTATTGTGTGTTGGGGGAGGGGAGCAAGTTGCAGAGCAGTGCATATCACATGAGCTCTTTAGCTTACTCAAGAGATGCCCCAGGGAGTGGGGAAGCAGAGATACTTTTCACTTTACACCCATCTGTGAATTTACTGCTTTTATAATTTAAAAAAAATGAGTTCTAGGATGGGAGTCATGATCAAGAACAAAAGGAGAGTGTTCATCTTACAAAGAGTTCTTACCTTGAAAGTGAGCTGGCGAGTGATCTGGGTCGGAGACAGGGTAGAAGCCGCCAGAGCAGGGCGGGCGCTGGGCTCCTTGCAGTCAGCATGGACAGCTGCTGGTAGGCTGGGGGTGGAGGAGACACACCATGCAGACTCCCCGTTCCTCGGGGGAAGGTTCTGATGTTGTCTAGGAAGCAGCTCAAAGATGATGTCTGTAGTTTCTGTAAGTACAGATCCAGGGGAAATTTGGGCAAATCACAGAATTTCTCACCCAATGCTATTTGCTTTTCTGCCTGTTCTAAATGTAGAAAAGTTCTATTCTCAA